CACTTGCCCCCTTTTTTCCAACGCATATAAGTAACTCTCAAATATTCCGCCACCCATTCTCGGGGGAGGCCCCTTCCCTCCACTCCCTTCCCCTGAGACCGCCTCTGATACATACGTATCCTCAGTCCTAGAGCAGTAATACCACTAAGTTATCCTGGTGATGCCTGTCTCTTAGTGCTTCGCAGCAGCGATATCATCGGTGGTCACACGTGTTCTTCTGTCCCGTTACTGCTCAAAGTAAAAATGTCAAGGCGGCTAAGTTTGCCGTTTTGAACATAGACTACAACATGCGTCAATGAATTTATACAGATTTCGATCGAAAAATATGTGATGAGCAGAAGATGGTGCATCTTATCGATCTGCGAAAGTTGTACGTAATGTGAATTTGCAATCTGCAAGTGTTGGATTTGAGAAGATCCTGGCAGTTTGCCAGATCGCATGGCGACAGTCGCGTGAGGTATGCCTGGGGTCTTTGGTACCACCAAAGGCACTTGATGACTCTGTCTTAAATGTGCCATCTGCACCATCTTCTAAGCAAAATTGTATTTGCGTTACATCCATGTAAACAGTAGTAATTGTTACAATAAATAACACTTTATTAACAAAAAAACAAACTTGAAAATAATCCGTGCAGAGCACAGAATTAGGTTTGTTCTTATTCTGTTACAAAAGTTCTTCTCAAGATGCATGACTAGTATCGAACAAGCTTCTCGTTTTTCTCGGCCAAGAGACGGTTCGCTGTTGCTTTTGGACCCCAAAGTTCCGTGTCTGGCATAAATAACCGCCAGTAGCTCATCTTGTGTCGATAAAAGTAGGCAACCTAAACACTTGGGGCGGCTAGTACGGCCGTAAAAGTGGTTGTGCTATATTACCTTTCTTATCGCGCAGATTAATATAGGACTTAACACCACACACAGCCAGATAACGTCGTAGTACTGCATGTTGGTTTCAGGTGCTGCCATGTACATTATCAGAGCATACTGTAAAACATTGATATTGATAAAAACAAAGCATTCTATGCTGGATTTCTTCAAGTAACAGTATCTGCTTACGAGGATTGCTACTGGAATCACAGCTTTCAACATTGCCATTGTTATGAAGCCAGTGATCAGATTGACCCAGTTGTCTCCTCTTATGGCCGACTGAAGAAAATTATGTATTAGAAGAATCTACTCTCTGATTTTAACCGGATGGGCGCATGGAGGGCGGGGCCGCCATCATTAGAGAGCACGTAGGCGTGGGAGACGCAGGCTCTACCATTCTCTCACTACGTGCTCTCTATCGATCGATGCCCCGCCCTCCAGGGCCCATCTGGTTGAATGAGAGGGTACGTATATTTACATCTTCTTGGGTAAGATTGGGCTTCTTTTTGTCTGTACTGTGTGTATGTCTGTGTGAGCGTGTGTGTACTTATTTTCCGCCGAAGAGAAGATTCCAGTTCTGTACCGATCCAAAACATTGACCAAATTACACACATACACATACACACATACACA